CTCCTTTCCTTCTCTCTTTCCTTCTTTTCTTTCTTTTCTTTCTTTCCACTTTTTTTCGTTTGTGTTTTGGTTTTGATTTTCGCTTTTCAGTTCCTTTTTTATTTCCCTCTTCCATTTCCCTGCACTCACCAGCCCGTGTTTGTTTTCTCTCCCCATCTCCCTGCCCACCTCCCCAACATCCCCCAGCTCTCCCCAACCTCATTCTCTGGGCCATGAGTAGAGCAGGGCTCCTGCAACACCCCTGGAGCTGATGGGCTGGATCCTGAAAAGTGCTTTTTGACATGCCTAGATTTAAGATTTAAGCATGTGAGCAGCCCATGGAAGACAAAGGGACTCTGCATTCATTGCAAGCCATGTTTAATTTGTTTAATTTGTTTAATGCCCCGTTCTTGGAGTTCTGGATTTAAAGCAGTGACTCCCAGTAATTCTGGTGCTAGACAGGGACTCCAAAACCCAGCTTTGTCAGCCACTTGAGCACCTGCTTGAGTGTTTTCCTCAGAGGCTGCAGAGCACTGAGTGTGGTTTAAGTGAGTTGATGAATCACTTCTGAGTGGGTTTTTTTTGAAATGCTGAAGTTGAGTTGAATACCTCGTAGGCCTGCAGGTCTGATTTGATAGGTGTTGACTGCCTCTTTCGGACCCCTGAAAGCACTTGGAATTAATTCTCAAAATCTTAAAATGTTTCATTGTTCTGAGTTGCAAAAGTCAGATGTTGTTAAATCTCTTCTTAGATGCTGCTGGAGTTAGCTTTAAAAAAATAATAATAATAATAATAAGGAAAGAGCTTTGTTCTGCTGGAGAAATAGTTGTTATTTATGTGGTTGGCTTTTTTTTTTCCCAAAGGTTAAGGTTAGAGAGAGAGCAATGAGGGAAGATTTGTATTTCTTCCTTCCCTTTTGGCAATTTTATTATCTGTATCACATCCAAGTGATGCTACACTTTGGTTTTGATGTCTAAATTAGTACATGCAAAACGTGTGAGGGAAACAGTCTCAGATCATTTGCAGTTTGAAAATTCCTACCTTTAATTAGTATGAACTAAAAGAGGCAGCCGAAATGTCAGATCTCAAAATGTAGAAAGATAAAAGAAAATCAGCTCAAGAACACCTGGAAG